CTTTAAACAAATAAATAAAAAAAATTTCCTATAAAATTGTCTTTGTTTACGTTAGGATCCAAACAGAGCAGTTATTTATATTTTGAGAATCAGGAAAAATGTGTGTTCAGAAGCACTATTTGTGTTTTGTTTGATCAGGAGGTCCTACATGGCCGAGTTGGTCTAAGGCACGTCAGGTCTAATGACGGTTTCCCCCAGGGGACCGATGTTCGAATCCAGCCGGAGGACGCATATTTTTCTAATAAGATTTCTCGAATGTTCAGGCCGGTAGATCTAAATAAAAAATAAAATAATAACAGAACATCTATTCAAATATGTATATAAATGATAATATATATATAGAGAGAGAAAGAGAGAGATTAAAATATGTCGGATTTAATCCATTTCCTTTTTATTTATTTTTTTATATATATATATATATATATATATATATTAGGCAGCATATATTTTATATATAAAGAAATAATCATACATAGAATCAATTAGCAATATTAATGCGATTAATGGCGAAATCACTTCGCTAGTAGAAACATAATGTATGCATTAAAATACTGTTAATCCATTGAATGATGTGATCGTCATTAATAAAACTGTTGTCAGATTATTCTAGTGTATATTTTTTAAGTTAAGCAAGTACTTTCGAAGAATCATTCATTCATCGTCAGGCTGTAATTTTTTCTTTTAAAGTTAAAACTTGAAGGCGAAATATTTGTTTGTAGACCGAAAGATGTTTTTTTTAAGAATGTGTTATTTATTGGCGGTTGTACAATCTCGGAACGTGCGAGTCGCAATGCTAAAGTTCCAAATTTCAAGTGAGAATTTTTATATAAATTTTGTAATATGGTAAATCCACGAATTCTTTTTTACAAGTATTTTTCAGTTTACATGACATGAACTAAGTATATAGTTCAATTAATATAGTGATATGTCTTAGTAGTTTTTTTCTCAGGAATTTCATACTGCGGGATCAATTGTTTTTTTATAATTGATATATGTTTCATTGAATATGACGGAAAAGATATATTCTGTAAGTTTCTTATTCAGTTTTAACTTTATTTTCTGCTTTGAATACTAACTGTGCGGAGAAATTACCTATAATCTTTATTAACCCGATTGTTTTCGACTCTTCAGCCATTTTCAAACAAGTATCTAATTTTCGTGGTTACAATCATTTTTAGTTTATTTGCTTTTGTTCCTTATACCTTGGTTTGTCTGACTAGTAGTAATTTAGTGGTGTTTTATTTTTAATTTCCACAGTTTGACACCGTTCGAAATAAGTGTGTACAAATGTTCCCTCCCGTGCCATGACCAATTATTGGGCCTCAAACCCAACCTAGATCTCAAGTGAAACTCATGCATACGATCCATCGCTAAAGATGGAGGAAACAGTGTCAGTTCTCTGTACCGCACCAGTAAGCACCTGACTCCTTTACCTTTACAAAAGATTAGGCCTAAAATTGTCATATTTGGGCAGCTGCTTCTCAGTCTTCGCTTTCCTGTCTCGATAGGGTGCAAAAGCATATCCGCTTCCTCGTGGGTGATAAATTATTTTCCACCCTCCAACCTCTCTCTTCTCTCCCTCTCTCTCTTTCCGTCTCTCCCTCTCTCTCTCTTCTTCTCCTCTCTCTCTCTCTCTCTCTCCCTCTCAGAAACTGTAATGGAGACCCGGTCTACATAATTGCTCTCTCTCTCTCTGTCTCTCTCTCTTTCTGTCTCTCCCTCTCTCTCTCTCTCTCTCTCTCTTTCTGCCTCTCTCTCTCTCTCATATAAACTGTAATAGAGACCCGGTCTATATAATTGCTCTCTCTCTCTCTCTCTCTCTCTCTCTCTCTCTCTCAGAAACTATAATGGAGACCTGGTCTACATAATTGCTGTCCCTCCCTTTCTCTTTCTCTCTTTTTCTTTCTTCCCGTCTCTCCCTCTCTCTCCCTCTCTCTCTCTCTCTCTCTCTGCCTCTCTCTCTGCCTCTCTCTCAGAAACTGTAATAGAGACCCGGTCTATATAATTGCTGTCCCCCACTCTCTCTCTCTCTCTCTCTCTCTCTCTCTCTCTCTCAGTCGCTCACTGCTCTATCGCTACTTCCATGGAAAGTGCTCGGACGAACTACATTCCTTGGTTCCGTCAGGTCTAATCTTCACGGTTAGGACCCGCAATATCCCACACATTGTAGCGAACCACCCTCCTTCTCTTCCGTATTCCATTGGTGAGAAGTAATTTCCACTTAAGCAGCTTTCTCTTAACGAACAAATGTTCTTTGGAACCGAATCCAAAGAGGATCTTTTCCCGTTTACTACAATCTTCACCTGTTCAAGTCTAAGGTTAACCGTAATCTCCTATCCGCATAAACTTTATCATATACCCTCTCCCGGGCTTTGTACAGAGTGAACATCACTGTAAAAAAATCTGTCTGTCTCAGTGAGCGCGCGGCTGAGTGGTTGCCGAGTGCTTAGAACGTTTGCTTTTTGGCCATGGGACCTGGGTTCGAATTTCATCATGGTCGATTTGGTAGGGATTCTTGGTGTTATTGGCGTGTGGGGAGTGCCTGAAAAACCATAACACATGTTCACCCCAGCCTTTTACGAAGAAGGATTAATTCCGAAGTTTTCGTACCAAAAATAAGTCACGAGTCATTGTGACTGAGAATGTGATCGTACTGGCCTTATTCAAACACCAGATTATTCTCTCTCTCTCTCTCTCACTCTCTCTCTCTCACTCTCTCTCTCTCCCTTTCTCTCCCTCTCTCTCATTGCGCCTCTCTCTCTCTCTCTCTCTCCTCCTCTCTCTCAGAAACTGTAATGGAGACCCGGTCTACATAATTGCTGTCCCTCCCCCTCTCTCTCTCTCTCTCTCTCTCTCAGAAAATGTAATTGAAGTCCGCTCTACACAATTGCTCTCTCTCTCTCTCTCTCTCCCTCTCAGAAACTGTAATGGAGGTCCTCTCTACATAATTACTCTCTCTCTCTCTCTCTCTCTCTCTCTCTCTCCCTCTCAGAAACTGTAATGGAGGTCCGCTCTACATAATTGCTCTCTCTCTCTCTCTCTCTCTCTCTCCCCTCTCAGAAACTGTAATGGAGGTCCTCTCTACATAATTACTCTCTCTCTCTCTCTCTCCCTCTCAGAAACTGTAATGGAGGTCCGCTCTACATAATTGCTCTCTCTCTCTCTCTCTCTCCCTCTCAGAAACTGTAATGGAGGTCCGCTCTACATAATTGCTCTCTCTCTCTCTCTCCCCTCTCAGAAACTGTAATGGAGGTCCGCTCTACATAATTACTCTCTCTCTCTCTCTCTCTCCTCTCAGAAACTGTAATGGAGGTCCTCTCTACATAATTACTCTCTCTCTCTCTCTCTCTCTCTCCCTCTCAGAAACTGTAATGGAGGTCCACTCTACATAATTACTCTCTCTCTCTCTCTCTCTCTCTCTCTCTCCCCTCAGAAACTGTAATGGAGGTCCGTCTACATAATTGCTCTCTCTCTCCCCTCTCAGAAACTGTAATGGAGGTCCGCTCTACATAATTGCTCTCTCTCTCTCTCTCTCCCTCTCAGAAACTGTAATGGAGGTCCTCTCTACATAATTACTCTCTCTCTCTCTCTCTCTCCCTCTCAGAAACTGTAATGGAGGTCCGCTCTACATAATTGCTCTCTCTCTCTCTCTCTCTCTCTCTCTCTCCCTCTCAGAAAATGTACTGGAGGTCCGCTCGACATAATTGTCTCTCTCTCTCTCTCTCTCAGAAACTGTAATGGAGGTCTACGCTCTCTCTCTCTCTCTCTCTCTCTCTCCCTCTCAGAAACTGTAATGGAGGTCCGCTCTACATAATTGCTCTCTCTCTCTCTCTCTCTCCCTCTCAGAAACTGTAATGGAGGTCCGCTCTACATAATTGCTCTCTCTCTCTCTCTCTCTCTCTCTCTCTCTCTCTCTCTCCCTCTCAGAAACTGTAATGGAGACCCGGTTTTATTAAAGGAGCTTGGTTGGTGAGACTCGTTGTTACAAATAAAAGGAAATTCAGTGTCACTTAGTTTCTATTTTCAGAAGAGTTCCTTATTGTGAAAAGGAAAGAGGTCAAATAAAAATGGCCAGCCTTTCGTTGGACGATCATGTCTCTTCCATCGATCAGTGATCGATAAGCGGACAGGCGTTGAGTAATTAATTTTCAGGGACGCTGATCGATTCTGAAGTAAGGCAAGGATTTTTGTCGAGGGCAAAAGGAGTGGCTTGACCTTGTAGAATCACTTTGGAATTTGAAGAGGAAATTCAGAGAACAAAATTTGTGGTGGATGGAAGTGTTTTTTGATCGATTGATCGAGAAAAAAAATGTGACGCCGAGAAAATTCAGGAAAATTTCGGTAACCAATTCCAAATGAGGAGGAGGAAGAAGAGAAGGATAAAATCGGAAACTGAAGAGGGGAGTATGGAAAATGAGGAGGAAGGAGGAAAACGAAGAGAGAGAAGGAGGGAAGAAAATGAGGAAGGAGGAGAAAGAAGAAAAATGAAGTAAGAAAATGAGGAAGGAGGAGGGAGGAAGAAATTTAAGAGGGAGAAGGAAGTAAGAAAATGACGGAAGAAAGAAAATGAACAGTACGAAGGGAGGAGGAAAATGAAGAGGGAAGAAGTTCAAAAACGCGGAAGGAGAAGAAAGGAGGAAACTAGAGAGAGATGAGGAAGGAAGAAAATGAGGATGTAGGATGGGAAAATGGACGAGGAAGGAAGAAAACGAGGAAGAAAGAGTGGGGAGGAGGAAAATGAAAAGGGAAAGGAAGAAGAAAATGAGGAAGTAGGAGGAGGAAAATGAAGGGGGAAGGAGTAAAATGAAGAGGTGGACGGAGGAAATTGAAGAGAGGAAGAAAGAAAGAAATGTGGAAGAGGAGGAGGATGAGGAAAGGGTTTAAAAGATGAAAAAGGAAAGAAAGAACGAATTTGTAGAAAAAGAACATAAGTGAAGCGTTAAGAGGAAAACGTGAGAGTAGAGGAGAATGAGAAAAGTAGAGTGAGGCGGAGGACGAGATTAGAAGGAATAACAGAAAGAGGGGGGAATATACGATTCAAAACAAAGGAAAAAATATGAATGAACAACAGGGAGGAAGCAAGTGAAGAGAGAGAATGAGAAATAATAAAGAAAGGTGGGGAGAGTTTTTAAAAATGTCGTAAAAATGATGAGAGAAAGCAAAGAGAAAAAAATCAAAAGATGGCCAAAGACAGAAGAGGATACTGGTGAAAATTGGAGACGCAAAATGGAGACGCAAAATGGAGACGAAAAATGGAAACGAAAAATGGAGTCGAAAAATGGAGTCGAAAAATGGAGACGCAAATGGTAACGCAAAATGGAAACGAAAAATGGAGACGAAAAATGGAAACGAAAAATGGAGACGAAAATTGGAGACGCAAAATGGAAACAAAAAATGAAAACGAAAAATGGAGTCGAAAAATGAAGACGCAAAATGGAGACGCAAAATGGAAACGAAAAATGGAAACGAAAAATGGAGACGAAAATTGGAGACGAAAATTGGAGACGAAAAATTGAGACGAAAAATGGAAACGAAAAATGGAGATGAAAAATGGAGACGCAAAATGGAGACGAAAAATGGAAACAAAAATGGAGTCGAAAAATTGAGACGCAAAATGGTAACGCAAAATAGAAACGAAAAATGGAGACGAAAAATAGAGACGAAAAATGGAGACGAAAATTGGAGACGCAAAATGGAGACGAAAAATGGAAACGAAAATTGGAGTCGAAAAATGGAGACGCAAAATGGAAACGCAAAATGGAGACGCAAAATGGAAACGAAAAATGGAGATGAAAAATGGAGACGAAAAATGGAAACGCAAAATGGAGACGCAAAATGGAGACGCAAAATGGAGACGAAAATTGGAGACACAAAATGGAGACGAAAAATTGAGACGAAAAATTGAAACGAAAAATGGAGAATGACAATAAAAATATGAAAGCGAAAACACAAACAAGATGTTTTTAAAAGATTTTAAAAATAGAAACGGATAAACAGGATAGTGATTTTCCAAGCGTAGCTTAGATGTGGCACAAGGCCGAAAGTATGGGGCACTCAGTGAGAATCGAACTCACAACTCAGTCGCAATTGTTCTAACGAGACAAGCTTGTTAAACATTACACCGTCTCGAGGCGCCCAAGCGACTAAACAGTATTTGAACGAATAAGAAAATTATGAAAAGAATTAAAAAGTCAAAACAAAAAGAAAAGATATAAAGCAAATGTGAAGGATGGAAAAAAGAAAAAACATGAAATGGAGAGACAAGAAGGAAAATATAAAGCTATGAAATAAAAAATAAATAAAAAAGACAAGAATTAAAAAATAAACGACAGAGATCAAGAGTGACCGCATCAGTAGTAAGTCAAGCAGACATGCAGACAAGCAGACAAGAATAATATAAAGTATGTCTTCAAGCTCTGTATTCAGGATTGTCCCACGGGACAATAGCCTAGTGGATTAAAGCCTTGGTTCGCGAATTTGGTAGAAACTATGCGAGCAAAAAAAACAAGATATGCAATCCCTAGACATGGACAGTTAATCGAGAAGAATCTAACCCCATAAATTGAATAAAGAGTTTATTTTGAAATTCCCTGAAAGTTACCCAGATCATCAATCCCCTCATGATGGCTGGCGAGCACAACATCCGAAACGATGTGATAATAACAACAAAGATGAGGACATTAATAACCTTTAAAGCTAAACTATCTTTGAACATTTCTTTGAACTTATAGCGTCACTGCTCTTTTGATAGTCCTCTTTCACGATTCTTTTCTTTTTTTAATTTAAAATGTTGAAAATAGTTGACATTGGATGTATAATGTATTTGTTTTATACTAGCTTAAAAGCCGCCCTATCGAACGGCATTTAAGCTAGCTCCTGTGTTCATCAAGGGAGGAGTAGATGCGATAGGCAACAATAAACTATAGAATTCAAAAATGATCGCTGGATTTAAGTATTGCATTAATATTTAAGCTTACATTTTAAAAGTTCAACAATAATTCTTCTGCTGACACTTAATTTAAAGACAATTTGATGTACGTAGGTCCTTGCTTTCGTACAAACAATTATTTTTATTACATAGGTGACTTTCGCTGGATTTTGCAATTAATTTCGATTATTCCCAAATGTATTGCCAAGTTATAAAAATTGTTATCGTACAAAAAAATTCGTCGCAAAAGATCACGTAAAAAAATCGCTGAAAACAATTGCAGAAATGAAAAGTTGGGAATCCAAAATTTCAGGATTGCGGGTTCGGATTCGGCCCGGAATATTTTTAATTTGCTCACGGAATCTGTCTGATTACAAAATGGTATATGTTAGGCTACGGCCTCTAGGAATAAAGTTGAAAACACAGACAATTTTATTTTGAAAAACTGTAATTTAAGAACAGTATTGTTTTTCATTTGAACATTAGCTATTGAAAGAGAGTTGTGTCCCTTTAATTGTTTTTTATCAGTAGAAGCCAAGATGGCGGTATACGAAAACAATCGTAGTCATGGAAACTTGGGAATCCAAAATGTCAGGATTACGGGTCCAGATTCGGTCCGGAATTTTTTTTTTTTTTTTTTTTTTGCTCACGGAGTTGGCCTGATTCCAAGATGGTATGATATGTTAGGCTAAGACCTCTAGGGGTAAAGTAGAAAAAAGTGTGACACAGTGACACACTGATATTTGCATTTATTATATAGATGCAATGTTTGTAGCTTGCAAAATATAACCTTTTTTATTTTTGATGTTATTTATTTTCATTACATAACAAATAGTCTTTCCTTCTGAATATTATTTCTCCATGACATCTTGCGCGACAAAAAGATTGCTGGAAATACTCCCGAGTGTGCCAACCATAAAAAAAAAGGACAACTTCGTATACTTTTCTGATATCTCCTGCCAGGTTTTAGTATCTCCGTATTATCTCTTGTTCTGCCCTCACAGTCTTCTTCTTCTTCTTCTTCTTCTTCTTCTTCTTCTTCTTCTTCTTCTTCGTGCCTTATTCTTCTCTTAGTCTTCCTCTTCTACTTCTTTTTCTTATGTTCTTCTTCTTGTCTTATTCTTCTTTTTCTCCTAGTTTATTCTTCTTCTTCTTCTTCTTCTAGTCGTCTTCTGTTTTATCTTCTGCTTCTTCCAATTTTCTTCCTGTTGTCTTATTCTTCTTCTTCTTCTTGTTTTCTTCTTTTTCTTGTTGTTGTTGTTCTTCTTCTTATTATTATTATTATTATCAATTATTATTATTATTGAATTAATTAATTCCAAGAAGCATTTGAATTCTTGATAATCTATTTGTTCAGAAAACAAGAAAGTATAATTTCTTTTTAGATTTACAAAGCAAATTCCATTTTCTTGTCTACAAATCAAAAGCTGATAATCTAAGAATCTGTTCCTCTGAGTCACACCTACATTCATTAAATGCAGATTTATGTGTATTTATTAGATGCCATTCTTGCACATAGACATATGCATATATGTGCATATACTTATTGGCAACAAAGATAGATATACAATGAATAGATTGAGATAGATAGATAGATAGATAGATAGATAGATAGATAGATAGATAGATAGATAGATAATGAGCAGGCTGATATATATATATATACATTTAAATAAAAACAGACCACTTTAAGGTTCCATGTAATAAATTATTTCACCACAGTCCTTTTAAAGGACTGCGGATCATCGAACTTTACTTCCAAACAAAAAATGAAAAAGCTTATCATTTTTTGTTTGGAAATAAAATCTGATGATCCTGGCAGTCCTTTTAAAAAGGACTGTGGTGAAATAATTTATTACATGAACCTTAAAGTGGTCTGTTTTTATTAAATTATTTGTTCTGGATTTACATTGAGCTCTCTGGATTTTTTCCTCCTTAGGTTTACCCATACGGATTACCTAGTTTTTCATAAACTATATATATATATATATATATATATATATATATATATATATATATAAAGAGATAGATAGATAGATAGATAGATAGATAGATAGATAGATAGATAGATAGATAGATAGATAGAAAAAAGGAAGAAAATCTTTCAAGTGTTGAAATCTTTAAATATTTTTATTTTTAAGCAATCATTTTCTCAGTTTTATCTTTCTAGAAATGTAAAAAATAGGGACTAGAAATTTTATTTTAATTCCTAGCCGTGGAATCCTGATTAATTCCTCCTTAGTGGATGATCTCGGAATAAAAAATGATATTACTGAGATATATTACCCTCTTAACTAGTGTAAATGAACTGTTCAAAAAGAAAATTACAATTTAAAAAATAAGTGATATTGAAATTAGCACTTCTCTCTCTACTGCCCCAGTAGACATGGGGCCCCCAATCGGTTGAGAGGTTCGTGGGGTAGTAAGCACCGATCCTGTCGATTATTATAGTTGATGACTGACAATATAACTTAGGTAAACAAAAAAATTAAGTCCTGATCTGGTATTCCTTCTGCAGTCGCTTTCTCACAGATGTGCTGTGGTTTACCCTCTGTCTTTTCTACAAGTACTTTCATGACAACTGCTCCGATGAGCTACTTTTGCATGAATTTAAGCGTGCTACTAACTTGGCATCTCGGTCCCACACTTTCACTGTCGAAACGACTAAATGTAGCCATCTCTTCTACTCCAACAGCTTCTTATCTCGCACCTCCCGTCAGTGGAACTCCTTTTCTATCACTTGCTTCCCTGGTAGCTATAATCTTCAAATATTCAAATGTAATGTCAATCGACATCTTCTGATGCCCTGTCCTTCTCTTTATGCTTTTCGCAAGATCTCCTCTTTACTCTTACTCTCTGTAAACTCTTGCGTGGTAGTGGCACTCTCGCCTTGCTTGGGTTGATTTGCTTAAAAAAACATCCCTATCGTGTGTGTGTGTGTGTGTGTGTGTGTGTGTGTGTGTGTGTGTGTGTGCGCGACGTCCACGTGTTTTGTTTTTTTTTAAATAATGTAGCCAGTTTACCAGGGACTAAGAAGTCTCATCACAGGACAAGAGTGTCGCTGTTGAAGTGAGTACAGTTCACTGCAGCAGGAGAACACGCGTCTATTGTCTATTCTTTTTATAGTCCTGAAATAACGCCACCTATCGGCGTCTTCGCAGACAAGGTGAGGCTAATCATTACACAGCATATGAAATCCTAACTGAATCTGAAAAGGGCTAGTGAGTGTAACGCCCGTCAGATGCACTTACTTTGTTCTCATAAGTCTCGTATCACGTGATAATACGGCGAGAAAACACGTGATAACGCGGGAATCGATATTAATGATGGCAATTAGGATCAAATTTGACCAGTGTCTGTCACTAATATATTTTCTATTCGCCAACCTCGACGCCCACGATTTGGATCAGGTTTCATTTGGGGTCAAGGTCCCGGTCAGAGGTTAAAACTGAAACTCTTCATATGGCACCATTTCTGGCGGTTCCAAGTGCCACGATAAAAATTATTATTACGGAGGGAAATGAAATTGTCATTTTTCCCCCGTCACGCACACAAAAGATGATCGAATACACAAATCAATTTCAAATGTGTCATACAGACTGAGTATCTTTTATCCGAAATTTCAAAATCCGAAAATTTCCAAAATGCGCAAGTTTTTTTCAGTTACTGATATGATTTGCCATATATGGAAAATTTCAGAAAGCAACAAGGCTACCTATAGCACGATTATTGCGTTGCAGCAAATAAAATGTTGACTTTATTTTTTTCATTTTTAATTGTAATCAGAATCCATGTTCTGTTTTAATACAAACCCGTACCCGTATGTATTGTAACATTTTAATCAAAACACGACATCGTTGGTAGAGAATGCTTCGTTCTCATACTCAGTGATATGTACCTTCTCCCTCCAGTTTATCACAACTGATGTAGAAGTTAGTGTTTGGTGTTGCATTTAGATATATTTTTGTAAGTAGTGATCATGTTTTTTTTTTTGTACACGTACAGAAATTACAAAACATTATTTTCACGTAAAATCTTAATTTCACCTCTTAAAAATCCGTGTGAGAATTACATGACTAGCGTCATTACCTGTATCTGCATGTGCCCCCAAAATTTATCAAATTTTATATAAAAGAAATCTCAGGGTATCTGTATAAGCTTGTGTTATGATAAAGAAAGATCGTGTTTATGCTTGGGTTCCATTCCCAAACTACTCCATTTTATAGATGCTATATAGAAATTATATAGCCTATATTCCAAAAGCCAAAAAAAAAAAACTGAAAAACTGAATTACTTCCAGTCCCAAGAATTTTGGATAAAGGATTTTCAACATTTAATATCAAAATATCTATACCCTATATATATAATATTATAAATTAATTGATTTAAAATATGGTTTTTTCCGCTGTTTCAAAAATAGAAGCTAAAAGCCCCGAATTTAATTTGGGAAGGATATATATATATATATATATATATATATATATATATCCTTCCCAAATTTTAATTTTTATATTTTGAAACATAACAAAAACTGTGTGGCAAAAAAACATATTTTAAATCAAAAAATTTTAATAATGATTGATGTACAAATTTACATTGAGCACTATTTTTTGTAAAAATAAAAATATCTATAAGAACTTGGGGGATTATATATCTTACTGTTCTTTCTTTTTATTTATATACATACCTATATATATATATATATATATATATATATATATATATATATATATATATATATATATATATATATATATATATATATAGTGTGTTAATCATAACCTAATTATTCAACGTTACATAGTAAAAAAAAAAAGAAAATAAATGATTAACATTGAAAGTCGCTCGTCGCAGACTACATTACCTTCAGTCTGTTAGCAATAAGACGAGATAATTCATTGCAGGAAGAAACCCAGATGTACTGATTTATTTTTTACTTATATACAAATAAATATTAGTACCCAAAGAGTACTAAGAGCTACCGTAGCCCATTCCACTAATTTCTATTCTCATGCTCTCAGGGAGCGAAAGGTTTGCTGCCAGTATAGGTTTGTGGTAGTATTAGGTAGTAATAACACTATATATACACTTACCTCGTGGTGTAATGGTTAGCACGCTTGTCTCGCTAGATCAGTTACGACTGAAAAGTGAGTTCGATCCTCACTAGATGCCCCATACTTTCGGCCTTGTGCCATGATCTAAGTTACGCTTAGAAAATCAATATACACTTACCTCTTTAGTAAGTGGATGACAAAGAAAACTCTCTCTCTCTCCCATATATATATATATATATATATATATATATATATATATATATATCCATACCTTTCCTTCTTTCTATTGTTCCTATCCTCGGTAACGGACATGAACCCGGACTTAGTTTATGTGGGTCAGTGAACGTCATAAAAAAGATCAACCAATGACAACACGTCCCGCCAAAATTCAAACGGGAAACACGCATGTGTCAGCCTCAATAAAAAGAAGAAAACCACGTACGAGTCGAGAGACGTCGCAGTGGTGAGGAACTGGATTCGAGATAGCAGATCGAGACGCAAGGGTTGCTGAGTCATCGGCTGTGAGTTTGACCTGGGATACAACTTCGGAAGAAGAAAGGATGAATGCAACGAATTAATTTCCGTCAACCAGAAGGAACACAACAACACTGTATGAACTCTCAAATCACAAAAAGGAACTATGACGATAGTCAACTGTTTTAAAAACACTGTAAGCAAATGGAGTCAACAATAAATGGCACTATAAACAGTAAATTTGCCCTTTACTTCATCTCTATACACCATAGCTTCTTGATTATTTTAATATCCTTCCCAAATGTCAAGGTTGTTGAGCAGTTTTAACAGTTACTGTGTCATACTTTATCAAATGCGTTTGCATAATCTATAAAACACAGATACACGTCCACCTATTTTTGTATATTTCTCTCTCTTCCCCCACTCTCTCTCTCTATCTCTCTCTCCCCACTCTCTATCTCTCACCACCACTCTCTCCCCCTCTCTATCTCCCCCATTCTCTCTCTCTCTCTCTCTCTCTCTCTCTCTCTCTCTCTCTCTTCTGATAGCATTCTGAGCATAAATATCGCATTTGACGAAGCCATATTGTTTATGTCATATTTCCGATCCGATTCAGAATTCGTATGATAAATTTAGTTATATGACTCATTTCCCTGATTGGCCGACGGAGTTTACATTCGTTTGCACCTGGTTTCTTAAGCAGTGCTATGAAAATAGGTCTACTTAGGTCTTCCGGTATATCACCACTGTTGTATATTTCATTTATTATATCTGTGATCTTGTCAATGCCGAAATAATCTAAGGTTATCAGCATGTCTGTTACGATTCCGTCTGATCCTGTTGCCTTGTTTCTGTTCAATTTGTCAAGTGCTGATTTCACTTCAGACTTGAATATTTCTGGACCTTCAATATTTATGTGTATTGCCAATTTTACTGAAATAAATTTATTTGAATTGCACAAGAAAGGTATACTTAAGCAAAATCATCGTTAAGTTGCCAGTTGAAACATATTCAAATAACTTGGTTGGTTTCATAGCAGTCAAATAATTAAGAACTTAAATAACATAAAATCTGAATTTTTTTTAATTTACAGAAAAAATGTTGATGACAATTAAAAATAGATTTTAATAATTTAATTAAAAATGTAATGAATTGAATGAGGCTTACGATTTTCATGTCGAAAATGTTGCTTTTATTTTTTATTTTTTTTATTTTAATAAGTTTTTTTCTTAACAACTTTTGAGTTCTTGTTGACAAAAAAAAAAGAAAAAAAAGGAAAATAAATACAAAATTTGCAGGAAGTGTCTTTGAAAACTGATGCAACAAATTGTAACGCTCTCGGACACCGGAATTGTAAAGAGATCATTCTTCTGTATATATATATATATATATATATATATATATATATATATATATATATATAATATATGTGTGTGTGTGTGTGTGTGTGTGTGTGTGTGTGTGTGTGTGTGTGTGTGTATATATATATATCGGAATTCAAAACGTCCAGTGGAACCGGTGGATGGGGTTTGGGTCGTCTACTGTTGGCTTTTTTTTCTCCATTCTTACCTTCTGGATTTTCTTTTAGGACAATGATCCCCCAAACAGTGCGACGGAAAAATATAGCAGGTGAGGCGGAATGGTTGAAAGACAAAGATTTGGAAACAGTTTCAGTTTAAAATATTATTATGGATTACTTGTAACTGCATGCATCATGAGTCCCAGTATAAATAGTTATAAATAATTATTGACCGATTTTATTGTGATATTTTTTTACATAATGTCAACTATTAAGAATATAGTAACTATAGTCCGCAAATTGGAGGGGAGAGTTATTAATGATAAATGTTATGACTTTAAAACCGCGATTATCTCCCTTTAACTCTAGAACACTAACCATGCAATTAGTACAGCCCTATTTCAGACAGTAGGAGTACCAATTCCAATAGCCATCTTCTCTAAAAAGTTAACTCAAACTAGGTATTCGACTTTTGATAAGGAAATTTTTGTGGCATATTCAGCTACATTATATTTTAAACATATTATCAAAAGAAAACAAGTTTTATTACTGACCATATATCTTTGCACAGTGCATTCTGTAGTCTAAACCCTGGTAAGTCAGATAGATTGTAGTGGCAATTAGCAATTCTCACAGACTATATATCAGATAGAGGCTATATGAAAGGGAAATCAAAATCTTATAGCTGATTGCTTCTATAGATCTATCCTAGCAGTTATGGTAGCTGTTATAGGTGCTGCACAACTTACCCCTAGAACACTAACCATGGGTATATAATAACCAGTGCAAATTTTCCTATTTTTAATTACAATTTTCAGTATCTGATTTCCTGACCTAAATAATATGTTTTTAGTTCCTATTAAAGTTAACTCAAAGTACAAAGTTTGAAGTGACTGCATGTAAAATATTTTAAATAAAGATTTATATTTAATATTTTTTTTTTATATTTTCAAAATCGGGCATGATATACTCATGGTTAGTAGTGGTGTAACTTTAACCCTAGAACACTAACCATGGGTATATAGAACCCAGCGCAAATTTTCCTATTTTTAATTACAATTTTCAGTACCTGATTTTCTGACCTAAATAATATGTTTTTCAGTTCCCTATTAACGTTAACTCAAAGTACAAAGTTTGAAGTGCCTGTCTGTAAAATATTTCAAATAAAGATTTATATTTAATTTTTTTTTTTTTTGATATTTTCAAAATCGGGTATGATATACCCATGGATAGCAATGGTGTAACTTTAATTGATAGTTAGTGTTCTAAGGTTAAGACTCTCTCTGTTTTTTTTGGGGGGGGGTATTTTTAAATGTACTTTTTTATTACATGAAATTTGGTGAAGCGCGAGCAAATTTTATATTATGAAA